GAAAAATGAATTATAACAGCTCTCGTGAGATAAAATATTAATCTTAATCGCCATGCATACCTGAACAAGGTATGATGCAACTTTGTGCTGCAACATTGCCAATTAAAGTTTTAAACAATCGATTAATCCACTAATAATCGTCGAGTACGTAATTACCGCCTACGAGCGTCGCCCACGTTAAATAACCCAATCGATGATCAGCTAATAATAAATTTGATCGTGCTACAGTCCCTAATGAGACGCTATGGTGCATCCTCTAAATTATGCACCACGAGGAACGGTGACACGTTAGGTTAGAATGAAACGAGCGAGGAAGAGTGTCCGATAATATCGAAGACTCGATAACATATTGGGTGTTAATGAAATATTAGATAAAACGTTTAATAACTAACATTCATGCATTAATGTTTACCATTAAACTGCAGATTTCTCTGCATTTACAGGAAATCTTGAAGTGCAACATACAATGCCCAAAAATCCACAGTCTACTTACCAAAGATTCATAAAATTCACTATCTACCCTTTACGAAACCCCAACTCGTAAAATCGAAACTTCATTCAAAATAAATACTCATAGAAGTACCATTACTGTATCTTCTGCTTGGCCATCTCATTTATCAATGATCATATTCTTCCTCGCGACGAAAATGAACGCACAAGCGAGAACGTTTAATTCAAAATAAATCAATTGCCCTATGATTTATTTATTATCTGTACTTGATAAAATAACAATCGTTAATAATTTAGCAATAAAAGAAACTAATCTTATAGTTATCCTATAAGTTTATTCCAAAGGTTAAAGATTAATAATACGCAAGTAATACATAACTTACGTTAAAAACAAATAACATACCAGTTTGTCGAATTCAGTTGAAAATCTTCCTCGTGAGTTTGACACGTTGCAATAAGACAAGGGGTTAATAATTCTTCAACACCCCTTGTGCAAGCCCCGCATTCGCCCACGAATCGTCTCTCCATCGCGCGCCCCTCCCACGATCGGCCGTTTTCCAATTCGCCAGCGTCTCGGTCCTTTGTAGACCGGCCATCAGATTATTAACTATCATCGAAAGGTAAATGTAGCGTGGTCACGGTGCAGGCGATCAATAATTCATGCACGACGAAGTCGCCTCGCGCTCGAAGAGGATTAATTCGGGCATACGACCCTCGGCGCGGCCATCGTGGTCCTCCACGATGGTCCCGTGGAAGACTCTTCAAGCCCATTGTCCCTGTCAAACCCTCGGACGTCGAACTCCGTCGTATTTATAAAGTTTCCGGCGTGGGAGAGCGGACTCTCTTGAGAGAAAACGAGAGAGTGCGCGCGTCAAGGCGTCGCGTCGCGGCCGGTAAACGCGGACGCGGAAGATTCCGCGGAAGATTGCCATTGAAAGACGGGCCGGATGGAAACTTCTTAATTCCAGACGTGCTCCAGTTTTCCGGCACGTAGAGAGCTTTCGCGGCTCTTTCACGGGGCTGCTTACACACCGCCCGGTCGCGTTATTACCCGCTAGCCCGGCAAGAGAAAAGTTCCACGCTTCACACTCGACCGGGTCATTAACACTAGAGCTACCACCCCCGTCAATATGGTGTCTTAGGTTCCTTATTTCGCGATTTTTGGAATTGTAGAGGTGTTTATGTTTACTCCTATTTGTAAGACTGAGATTTTTGTGACGAATGTTGTTTAGGAAGTTGGGGGATGATTTCTTATCATTTCTGAGAGTTGTCGACTAGGTCATTAACATTAGAACTACCACCCCTGGCAATATGATGTTTCGAGTTCCTTATTTTGCGATTTTTGGAATTGTAGAGGTGTTTATGTTTAATGCTATTTGTAAGATTGGGATTTTTGTGACGAATGTTGTTTAGAAAGTTGGGGGATGATTTCTTATCATTTCTGGGGGCTGTTGAATAGGTCATTAGTACTAGAACTATCACCCCCGTCAATATGACTGGTTTTAGATTTCTTATTTTGCAACTACTAGAAGTATAGAAATGTTTGTATTTATTCTTATATAATTAATTGATATTTTCATTTTCATAATACAACAAATATTACACAGAAACTTAGAAAAGTAGTCGATTATAATTCTTACAAGAACTCATCATTTTAAATACTTCTGTATAGTTCTAGTGTCAATAGGAGGTGTTTATATTCAATATAATATTCTATATATCCAATATTATTCGAAAAATTCATATTTTCTTCCATGTAGTACAATAAATGTTGCACAAGAACTTCGAAAAATGTTTTCTCACAACTTTTACAAGAAGTTACACGTAAATCGTTTTAAATACCCGGTAGTTCTAGTGTTAATGGGAAGTCCGAAACCTCCGGGACCTATTTGCGCGCTAAGAACCGCGAAAGTCGTGCCGGGCGACGATAAATGCAACCCCTCCGCCCGACCTCGTAATCGGGGAAACAAGTTCAGCGGGAGAGACGTTCGGCCAGGATTTATTTCGATTGCCCGACCACGCCGGCAACAACCGGGAATGAATAGAAACGGATCGCGTGACTATGATTTTATTACCTACCTATATACCTACTTCCGGGTAATTTACCCAGTGGTCACGGGCCTATTTTGATACCGACACACGAGATATTTTGTAATTCTTTGAGTACGTTTTGATCACATTCGATTAGCTGGCTATTAACCCATTTAAACGCAGTGGAGATGGACACTTAACCTTGCGTGATGATTGAATTACTGGCTACCCTTTTCAGGAAAACGCAACGCCACCCTAGAGATTATATACCTATAACGTGTGCAATAAAAAGGTAAATCCACATGGACTTTGATGCTTACCTCTGGAATTACCTAATCAATTGTAGGGAAACTTGTTTCAGAGTGAAACACTAAGAAGTAATCCTATGAAACCTCAGGTAGGCTAAAAATCGAATAAATGTTCACCGTTCAAACATGACACGCTATATTAAAATGAAAATTTAGCGAAATACTCTTCAGTGTTTTCACTGTTAACGATAAAACAAGTTTCAGCTGAATCGATTGACTAGTTTCAAAGTTAACCTAAAACATCCAAGAGGTTCTGTGTTTTTATTATATATCTTATTCTTATTCTAATGCAAAGTTCATTTTTAATTTAGAATTAGCTGCAATGTAGAATGATAAAAAGGCAGATGCTGATATACGAAGAATGTTAAAACTTAATATATTCAGATAATATAAGAGAATGACAAGTAGAAGTAAAACTGTCTTTACATCTGAAATAAAAAAGTATTGCGTAACGGTCCCTCTCGTTGAAGATTTTCTATAAATTCGTTAATCTCCCGGAGCACAGCTCGTTGGTTCCTTGACGGTCGCATCCGTGAGGGATCCCCCTGTAAAAGTTATCGTTTTCATAACTCATCCTGTTCAAGGAGGGTGGGCTGCTACCTAGGGTTGACCGACCAATGAAAATATGTCCCTGTTACGAGAGGATTAGCGAGGATTAGCCGAAAGATTTAGAATTGTCTCACGTTCCGTGCTCGCTGAGCGACTAATCCGGAAATATGATCATCTTTACTCAGCATCCCCAAGACATCAATTGTATGAAAAAATGTAGGTAATCAGTGCACGCGATTCTTTTGTTATATTTCCTCGAATTACTCTCCGACGCCAGCCGTTGAAGTAGAAATAAAAAGGAATTGCTACTACATTATTAAACAGCGAATGAAAGAATAATAACATTGTTCACGAAGGCACGATCGAAGGAAATATGAGAAGAAATATAAAATTCTAATAAGAATCAGCATCTCCCCATATTATTTGTCATACCGAACGAGAAATGCGGGGCATCACTATTTCATCGTCTATAAAGAAAACGCAGAAGTCTCCTAGATCCAGCGGATCCTCGCTACATCGCGCGCTTGCCAATCTCGCTAAGACGGATAGAAACTGGATAGTATTCCGACTCATCATAAACTCAGGTTACGAGTTGTCCAAACTGCTGCCTGTATAAAGAAATAAAGAAGACACTTCTCTTATCTCAAGGCGGATGCACAATCTGCGAAATCTTCTTCCCAGCTTCCACCTACACGCTTCAGAGTTCCATCGGGTACACGAAAATGCTATTTCGAAAATCTCCGAGCACCCATAATGCAACAGAAGCTACTTCAAACAATGCCAGCGCACTTGCGTTGCGAATAACGTATCAGATTTGTGATATAAAACTGTGAAGTAAGTTTAACATGTTTTATGCGCGAAAATTAGGGGATGATTTGCGAATAGCTGCGATAATGTGTTGGAGAATTACGCGAATAAGATATACCGTCAAATGTTATACTAAATTTTCTGAGAAATTTATTGTCTATTTACTTCATTTGTTTCTATTCTTGCTTCGCGCGCTGAAGATACGAGAAATGCAAATGCAAGATTATGTAATTTACGTGTAGACTCGGGTCCGTTCGTGCCTCCCGATGTTAACTTTCACCGTATGCTGCACTGAGTAATTTAAATGCTCAAGAATTATACCAGAATTCAAATACAGGGAAACACAACGAAGGCTGCGCTTCCACTACATAGCTTCGCCATTAGTTTATGGTTCCCAAGGGCACGCGAAGGGTTGCGTATGACGCTTATAAGGCCCTGTAACGGGGAGCTGGATAATGTCACGCCCAACGAAGGGTCGGCTCTAAGTTATAATTGCTATATGTTAACCGAAAAGGATAGGCGGGAACGCGGCCATGTTTTTATTATGAGCCACCAACGTTTTTCATTGGTTTCGGGAAATCGTAAAACACGGGGATGCCTGGATACTTGAAAACTGCGAAGTTTCCCTCTTTTTCACACTTTTATTGGGATCTGGGTAAAACTACAAGGAAATTTATATGAATATAAATTATCGGATTATTTTCTTTTCGCATGGAACAAAAACGTGAAAAATTGAAGATTTTTTAAACGTTTGCAAAACTGAATATTGAAGATTAATAGAGGTCTTAATAAGTTGTAAACAAAAATTTCAATTATCTAGTTGTGTAAAAAATCAATTTGTCCACACATAAACTGTTTAAACTCTTTATTAATTTCATTTCTGAACACAGTATATAATATTTGGTTATGCGCAAATATTTGTTCTTGCACTTTGTTACTGAACATATATTTTCATAAAGAAAAAGCTCGTAGCCTTTTCTAAACTGATCGGAGTATCACAATTCATGTTAGTTATTACATACGCTATTATTGATCAAATAATTTCATTATCCGTAATACTATCGGGTGCAATTTTATACAGTGAATAAACAATCATTTTTTATTCACATCTGTATAAAACTGTTTCAAACGTGCCAACCAATTTTTCCATGATTTTTGCAATAGATCGTCTTTTAACTCGTGAACAGTTGCAGGCTGACCATTTGTGTAGGCAACTACGACCAACCCTTTAGTTATCTGTAAATTGATTTCTACTTTTACATATTCACGTACCATTAAATTATTCATCTTGCTAAATTATTCATAGTCGAGTAACACAATATTCTGCGATATTGCTAAATTCAGGATAATTACCGTGAATGGGTACAGACTAGAAGCGTTCACAGCGCCGACGTAAGCGCTAACTTGTACAGGTGCATCATAAGTTGATTCTAGAGTTGATTTATCTTTATCCGACTTTTTCCAATCAATTACACACAACTCACCCCTAAGCACATTGTTTAAAAATGATTGAGATTTGTTGAATGTAATAGTCAATCTACTGTACCATAAGACCTGCTACTTTGAGTGAGCTTCTCTTATGATGAGAAGGTCAATTTCTATATTACCTGTAAACAGCTATACAGTCCACAATCCCTTTATATACCAAATTTGGATGTATCACATAAGTCTCCAAAGTTTTCACTTTCTCTAAATCCATAAAAACAGGTTTCAAGCTGTTATATGCTAATTCAACTTGTGGGGCAATTGTAATTTTTTCATTTTGCAAGGTACTTCGTATACAAGAATGTAACAGTTTACCATTTTTCAATAAATCTAAAACGGGGGTAAGCAAATGAATACAGAGTCAGCTAAATACTAAGGATAAGTTCACTGAAGACAAAACCTTGGAAGTATATATTAAACCGGTCCTGGCCTAATTTATCAATCATGTTTGTCTTCCATGTATCTAAAGCCTTTCTTGCATCTGCTGACATAGTTTGGCGAAGAATAATTGATACGCTTGGTACACCTGGCTCTTTGTTATTTCCTTTGAAATTTATTTCAGCACTCTCAGACCCAAGAATGGGGAATGAAGTCATCTTTTTTATCATGTCATTAGTCATAGGTCTATAAGAACTTAATAATTTTGCTTCATCATAACTCATATTAAGTCTTTCATACTCTGTATAGCCTTTTTCTATGATATATAACATTTTAAATAGATGTCATAAGATTATAAATAGATCTAGATGTTGCAACATCAATGTCATCATATTCTCCTTACCTTCTGTTATATTTTTAGATATCATTTTATCTATGTTAATTTCTTCATTAAATTCATAATTAACATTTTCTTGTTCTATTTGTTCTTCTTCTACTTCAGAATAAATACTAGACTCAAACTGAGAGACTCTATGTACTCTATCTACATCATTGTATGGTGAATTGACATTGACACTTTCAATGTCATTTTGACATACATTTGTTAATTTTTCGTTTCCTTCTTTTAATTTCAATTTTTGACATAAGGCAGTATCAAACGACAGATTTCGTATACATTGTCGAAAAATGCGGTCAATATTAAAACGACCAAAAACTAACGAAGAAAATAAGTATTTGTTGCCCAGCATAGTATAAATACAGAAATAACTGAAGTAATTAAGTATATATTATGATTAAATAGTAAAAATTTTCTATCTCACATTAATCAGTCTTCATTTTTGTCACATTCTTGCCGTATTCTTGTCACAAAAATTAAGAAAAAAGCAACTTAAATTAATCTTTCATCTAGGGTTAAAATGCATCTTAGCAACACGTGAACTGACTGAATCGACTTTCCCATTGATGCATTTACCGTGTTTATTTCACACTGACAGCGCTATCTTTCCTTACTCTTTACAATTTCATACTACTATTTCTAGTCGAATCGGTAAAACAGTTCTATTTATAATGATAAGATAGATTTCTTTTCTATATTCACAATTAACGTTAACAGGTACATTTTCATATTATAATAGTATTTTAGAACACGCCATATTCGAATTCAAATGAATAAATATGAATATACTAACACGCGAAGTTTCAAACACTAGAATGCTTAAATTTTTACTTTTAATTTTATTAACTAAAGTTAAAAAGTAAAGAAAAAATCATTCTTATTTATTTATCATTGTTAAACATTGAAGAATTTTTTTAATAGTGTTAATCAATTTCTATATGAAGTATATTTTACGATAATACAGAATTCGGTTAATCGAAATTCTACATTCAAATTGTATAGATAGTAAACTACTGTTTTTAATGATAATTTTCAGTTATTAACTAGACCAATCAGATAATGCGTTTTTATTACCACTGAATACTTTGTCCACATTATCGGTATAACGATCAGAATGAAATGCAACCCTTTCATAGTTGCTCAATAGCGAACTTTGGGATATTTAGCAATGATTTGCTAAGGGGCATTTAGTAATAACTGCAGTCAGACTTACAAAAAATCAGTTTACTTTTACTAATTGCTTTCCGTTATGTAATAATAATGTCTATATTCCTTCTACATAGGAAACAAAACAGCGAAACATAGTGCCCGTCGGTGTTTCGCATATATCAGATTACTATTACTTCAGTGTACAGCTGCCAGGTTACTCTAATACTTGTAATACTTTGTAAATAATTATATCAATATTAAAAGTATTTCCTTAGAATAAAATCAGTTTGTTTCCATTTCTCGAATTAAACGATTTACTGCAGAAGAGTTATATATTAAACTTTAATTTATTAAATTTCTAATTTAATCCACACTTCTAAAATTATCACTTAATACTGTAACACTAAGGCATTTCATTTATAAAGAATTTTGTACTGCCAGTAATCTGCATAATTTAAATCTTAGTTGCTATCATATAAAATTGAAGATCTAAGAGTAACCCGAAAATTTCTATGAAAATATGTTACCTTGGTGGGGCAGTTCATTGAATTGTAACATTGTGTAACAAAAGGTATTAAACCAAACAATACCCATATAATTTATCAATTAACATTCACATAAAAATATTATAAAATATTATATTCTAAGAGATAGCTAATACACAAACGTTCAAAGAGCAGTTCTTGTAAACAAAAAATACGTAAAAGTACTTTCCATCGTTAGATAATTCTTTCAGCAAAGTGTTCCGCGAAAGATCATTGAAAGATCACATAAAGTAGCAAAAAGTAGACATTTCTAATGAAGTCGTTACATTAACTTTTCTACAGAGAAACAGATAGCGGTTTCAACTAAAGCAGAAACCGTATAACCGTCTAATGCATATCCGTATTCTCGCAGGATTTTTAGTTACAGTTTCAGTCACCCAGATCAGTCGCTGGAGGAACAAACGAGCGCATAGAGGAAGTATGGACGCAAAACACGGTTGAAAAATATGAATTTGTCTTTTTACGTAACGTTGCAATTGAAAACCGTCCCCCTAGTGTCTAGAAGCAGTGAAAGTCTGGCCATGGATGAAATTCGAGATGCGCGGCGAATACTGTACAAGAGATACTCGCAGGGCTGCTCTGGATTCTAGGTGCAGGCTAGGTTCATCCTTCGAAAAATGATTTCCGCAAAATGACCGCGTGCCGACGATGTTCATCCGCTTTCGATTTATCCGATACTATCGGTCAGCAGCTAACCACGAACCCGATACAGGTCAGCCGGCTATGATACCACGTGTTCAGCTAGTTCGAGGCGAAGTTATTGGCTTGGAGAACGGCGTGGACGTAATGCGAATCGAAGCAATCTTTAATTAGACTCTCCAATTCGAAAGAGACGCAGCGCATTACATGTCTAGATCGACCGATAGATTTACCATTATTGATAATTTTCGTGTTTCTATTTGCGCGATCACTTTCCAATGTAAAGGGGAACGCCGAAATCGTAGATTGCTTCCGCGCAAATAACGATTTCGTTTACCACCACTATCGCTAATCTTCACAATTGACCTATTTTTTTCCAACCGACTTGACAGGCCTGCCGTATCCGATATCTTCGCATGATCTCACAACAAAAACGAAAAATAGGAAGTTCCGCGACAAGAGTAGCGCGGCTTGCTTTAGAAAGGCGCGTCGGCCAGCACGTGGCGCGCAATTGTGTTGACACGAACACACGCGAAACCCGGTTTACCGGGATGCGGTACCGCAGGAAATCACTCGGGTGGTATAAAAGGGGGTACGTTCCACGGTTTTTGCATCAGTTTCAATCCTGAACCACACATCGCAACCATCATGAAAACCTTCGTAAGTTGATCAGTTAACAGATTCCTCGCAACAATGTAATTGTACTAATTAGATTTCGTCCGTGTTTCGTACGCTAGTAATCGAAATCAAAAAGCATTCTTCAAAAATGTATTCCTAGAATTAAAAATTTGTTTGGAAGAAAATTGCAATGTAAAAACGAGGTATCTTGAAAATTTTTTCGGTTATAAAGAATATTCTACATTTTGAATTGTCTATTGTATCTAGAGAATTCGGTAATATATACAGAACATTGCAGTAATTTTTCATTGCAATATAAGACGAAAATATAGAGTAAAAATATAAGGGAATAAGAAATTAGTGCCAAAATTAATGAATTAATTCCTTCGGTAGCAGATTAATGAAGAATAAACGCACTACTTTAAAATTTTCAATTTCTTGAAACTATACTCAAATAATTTTTTATAATATAATTGTATCACTCTTTCTTTATTGGAATTTAAATGAAAACTTAAATGGAAAAATTAGTTTGATTTAATGAATTATTCATAATAAATGATTGAAACACATTGTATATGACATTACCATTTTCCCAGATCGTTCTCGCAATCATCGCTTTGGCGTGCCCCATCTACGGTCAGGATGAGAAGAATCACGTGAAGAGAGGCATTCTTGGAGGTGGTTTAAGCTCCGGGGGCCTAGGAGGTAAAACGATATTTCATTTAAATGCCATCGCATTAACATCCACCATAATAGATCCTATTTTATCAGACTCACAACGTCCCTTCACACTAATCCTCTACCCCATATCTCATACTCCACTTTTGCATTATTATACCGTACTGACCTTAAATCTTACGTCAATTTCATAACATCAGTGCAACAGACACATTTTTCCAGTACAATGCAACTGCTGGCGACAGGAAAATTACATAATATGCGGTTATCTATAGGTGCCTGTGGTTAGTTCCGTATGAACTACTCATTTCGTCCAGTTCAATATTGCCTGTTCTACCAACATCTATGCAAATCTCGAGCGCCGATCTAAATTTATACGATTATTAAGGTATAGTCGATTTACTTTAACAAGTAACATTTTGATTTCAGGCTACGGTGGAAGCTCACGAGGTGGTGGTGGATACTCTAGCGGTGGACATGGCGGTGGACTCTCTGGTGGATACTCTGGTGGACTTTCTGGTGGATACTCGGGAGGACTTTCCAGTGGATATTCTAGCGGCGGACATGGCGGTGGACTGTCTGGTGGATACTCTGGCGGTCTCGGTGGAGGACACTCTAGTGGAGGACTTTCGGGAGGACTCTTGGGAGGACTTTCCGGAGGACACGGCGGTGGTTTGTCCGGTGGATACTCTTCCGGAGGACTTTCTGGCGGCTATGGCCGCGGATGGTGAACGGGCGCAGTGTTTGTCGATGTTAACTAACATCAATAAGTCTCTGAGCTTTACTATACCTTCCACCTAATACGTGCACTGTCTATATGAGTTTTTGTACTGATGATCGATATGTAAAATAAATTTTAATACTTTTTCATTGGTTGTATATGTTTTCCCATTATCCTAATTTAGTTATAATTTAGTTATAATTTACTATCTGAATTGTGGATGGTAAGTTAAGGCGACATTATTTTTCACTCTTTGGGTTCGTTTTATTAGATGAAAGTTGATTGAAAACTGGGTTTCAACGTTTAAGAGTTTTATAAATTTATTGTTAATTACAAACGTTAGTAAAAAATTTCTAAAGGTTACATATCATATGTTTATAAGTCTGAAGTATAATATATTTGATGTGTATAAAAAACTATGGTATTAGAACGTTCACTTCAGTATAGTTGAAGAAATAATGATGATTCACGACCTTTTCTCTTTTTTGCAAATTATTTATTGAAAGGTCATATTGCTGTTGTTAAGATAATGTAGGAATCTAGATGATCTACTTTTCTGTTGATATTTCGACATAGTTCATCATTTCAACGCTAGGTGAATTGTGTAAGATGTCTGCATTTGCGAGAAATTGTTAATTGTTGTAAAAAGTTTGTATTCTTTTAACTATGAATATCTTGGCCAGAAGTGTAGCAAGGTTAGCTAAAACTTGCTTAAGGAGTTCTGTCGAAAGTACGATACTCTTGGTATTTATACGCAAATTTTCCTACATAACCTCTAAACTAACCTCTCCATAGATAGAAAACGAATATTTGACGTCTTATTTATTATTTCTTACAATTGTTTTATGTCTGTAACGAAATGTGCACAGTAATTACTACTTTCAAGTACCTTCATTTTTCTCGTTATAAAACACAATGAATTTCCTTAGTAAATGCTTGAGATTCCTGTTTTGTTTATTTTCAAAACAACTTTATTTTCTGTACAAATTATTTAATAAAATGCTTTTGGCAATAGTAAATAAAACTATTTAAATTATAAACTTTATTTTAATTTATTACAGGTAATCAATTGCAAGTATCACGACTATATCCGAACCCTATTCTTCAAGGTATTTATATTTTTAACAAGATTGGATAGTGTTAAATATACTTAATGAAATAATTAACTATGGAAATCTCTCTTTTCCTTAGCTGGAAGCCTATTAAATGCTGCAAAGTCATGCATTGGAAACATATTCCAAGGTAACATTATCAATTATACTCTATCACAATTAACATTAAGATTTCAACAGTATATAACTAATTTGATGTTTAAACAGATTTTTCTAAATAATATTCTTCATACTTTAACATAACCTACAATCCCCGCCCTTATTAACAATTTTCTATAATACTCAACTGTAACTCATTGACAAATGAATATACAGACACAGGTATAAACATTTACATCCTTATTTTCCTTTTCCATATTACATTGACACAACGTCTACCGCTCGAAATTATATCCACCCCCTTTTTCAAAAACATCTACTGTACACTTTAAAGACAACAATCAGTCTCTAGAAAATATTACCTAAGAATTAGCCAGAAGAAATTAGAGATTCATTCGGAGCAATGTAATGACCCACGATGGCTTATTTGCGTGAAATTGTGCGAGATTTTCCCGAGGGTTGTTTGCGTTTCCCATAAGCGCAACAAGAACGGACAATCGCTGGGCTGGAATCCGAGTGACATCTCAAGTTTCCGTAAGCCTTTTGGACAGATCCGTATCTCTGCGGAGTAAATGCGGCGAAAGGGGTGGTCGACTTAAAAAGGGTACCACGGGTACCCGGCATTCTTCTTCGCGAAAATGCGCGTGGCTCGCAAAAGCGCACGCAGCTCTTCTACCTCTTTGATCCCAGCGCTGGCAAAAGAGATTCTCGAAATGCAAAAAGGGATCCGGCTACTCCGCAAGAAAGAGCACCAATAGGGTGGCCCAGGGTTTCCCGTGGCCGACGCCGAAAATCGCTGGGAATCGAAGGGGGTGACGTGTCCATTTGCGGTTGACCAGTTGTCAGAAGCGATCGGTGATGGGTACAGGCCGCGGTAAGACTGTTATTCCCGTTTTCCCATTTCTCGCGACGCCACAAAGCCTGTTCCTTCACCAATCGATAACCACTGTCCGTGGACTACCTCCTCATCAATCTCTTTTAATTTTTACTGCAACTCCAATAAAAATTCTAATGGAATATGAAATGTTTTAGTGAAATGTTTCATGATCAAATTTATTAAACGTTCTAGCCATTGGAGGATCAGTATAGCCACCTCTTTTTATAAGGATTATCCATGTCTCCATTTGCAATCCTTTTTTGTTTGATCTTCTAGTATTTTCAATCCACAGTAATAGAATTATGTTTTCAATTTTACAATTTTTAACAAGTATACCAGACAAGTACTTATTAATCTTCATCAAAACGCAATGTTCGCGTAATTGTGACTGACTAACGAGGTAGCACACAGTTCTCATAAGACTCGTTGGACCATAAAGCACGTCCTGTCTCCGCAGAACGATTAATCCTGGTATCGGACCTTGTAATCTAATTGCGCAAAATTTGCAGTATTGTCAACCAACATCGTAACCCGAAAAAATAAGCCATGAGGTTTTACATGGGAATCTCGGCTGCGTGAACGTGACAAAGGCGCAACCACGACGTCGAGAATTTTCGCAATGTAATCTTGCGCATTGATCTTCGGAAAAAGGGGTTGCCTTCCGTGCATAATAGGTTCTGCTGGTCTCTTGCCTTAGTTAAGTCCGAGTTAGGTCGGATTAGCAGCGGCAGGCTTGGACATCTGTCGTATTGACGGACCGTGGTCAGCCAGATCTCCAAATGAACAACAATGGTACAGTCTCGACTAACAGACCCGTGCAAACCGGCCTGTGGAGGCTATCGCGAAATTGTCGTGTCATCCTCGACGTTTCATTTAAAATACGTGTCGACGGAGACGAATTTATTTCTGGCCACGAATTTTCCTATTGACACCGTGGACGATTGATTGTACGCGCAAATTTTTACCATGCTGCATTTGAGATCCATTCTATTTTCATTAAATAATCGTGAGCTAAATACTTCCTATGATTTGAAAATCCTCCAAACGTTCAAGGAATATAGCATCAAAGTCAATAAACTATATAATTATTATATACTATAATACTTTTAGAAGAAACATTCGTTAAATTTTCCTTTTTATGAATCACATCATGATATACTTAAGAATAAGAGAATTCACAGAAAAATACGCTTCGTTGCATCATTCAGGTTTTCTTTATTTGCAATGTTCGTAGAAAATTTCTATAGACGCACAAACGGATTGGAAATCAGGTTTCGCTGTTGCAATTTTTGCGATGGTTCCGCACGTTCGATTTTCCAATGTTGCAAACGTCGCGATAAACATTTTGCCTGGCGTGATCCCACGGATCGTGGACGTTTTGTGCAAGGGTGGGTGGACCGAACCTTGCAACAATGTTGCTTAATAAGCTTATGCACGCTCGAGCGAGAAAGGACTGCTTTCGCCGGTCGGCTTGCAGATGTCAAGCGCCCGTCATATTTGATATCCCACCGCCGGAGACCCTCTTTTCTTAGGCCCGTAAGATTATTTGCGAAAGAGTTTTCAGTTTCTCGGTACCGTTACCGCGCAGTGGGTCTTCCATTTTTCCCTGGCCCCGTTCACAATTACCTTGACTAGAACACAGTCATCCTTGGGGACTCCCTATTTCCTTATCTAACTTCTTTGCAACTTTCAATCACTTTTGTCACGTTTCTCGCGCAATCTTTAATAAAAATCTACATTTCAAGGGGGTTGTTTACGAAAATGAGGTCACTGCAACCCTTTCCACATATGATAATTCATACGTATCGTACAAATTCTATTTCATTGATGATAATGTATTGAAATCTAGTAGTCTATTAAGGTAGTTTATTAATTATTCAAAGTACTAGCTGAAGTCAAAGAAGCAATTTCGTAATTGAAGAACGTTTTCGTGGAACGCAACTGCAATTTGCTTCGAATCATTGCGTAACCGTAGAATTTCCAGTGAAAACTCAATTGTTCCCATTCACCTATTGCTTTCCCTTTGCGTGCGTACTCGAAAATTGATAGTTGTTTATCTTTGTTTTCTTTAACTAACGATTAGTCGGTTGAACTAAAATAAAGGTAATAATAAATTTCTTATGTTTTCCGAAAAAGTTGCAGGTAAATTTATTGAAATTCATAGTCCACTTTATTCTTTTTCTTTCGATCATTTCTTGTTTGCTTTTCTTATATTTTTTGCTCATTCTTATATATTGCGGTTCATTTTCAAAACATACATAATCGTAATAGAAGAAATCAATACAAGAATTGAATATATCGAGCATTTCTTTACAAAATTCATAACATAAGAAATGCGTTTTGTTTTGCGTTTCGCAAAAAATCTAATATAAACGGTTTTTTGTTGGACCAGGCTTCGAGCAGGTAAGATTCGGTTCAACATTGCAGAGAATGCACAAAATCGGGGGGCCTTATAAAACGAAGAAGAAAAAGAAAAATCCTTTGGATGGAAAGCCGTACGCGAAAGGCGTAGTGTTAAAAGTGATCATCAAGAAACCGAAGAAACCGAATTCTGCGAATCGAAAATGCGTTATCGTGCGACTGTCAACTGGAAAAGAACTGACTGCTTATGTGCCTCGTAAGTACTTAAAAGATGACTGTGAAGCGATCGTGTGAATAATAATATGCTGAATTTATCTTCCTATTTCTAATTTATCTTAATATCATTATGTAAATATTAATATTTTTAATTTATCTTAATCATTTCCGATGCCTACCATTCGTTTTGCTCTTCTTCGCAGACATTGGACACAATCTTCAAGAACACAACGTGGTGCTGTGTAGGGTGGGAAGACTACGAGATACCCCGGGTGTTAAAATACGATGCATTCGTGGGAAATACGACTTACCTCACTCCGTGAAAAATAGGTCTTAATCGTATAATTCGTCATGTAGAATGAAACAGAATCTTTTATTATAAATATATACTGCGTATAGATTAATCTATGAAAATATCATTTATTCTATTCGCAGTGAAAACGATGTTGTCAAAAATATTTTCAAAGGGAAGTTATTTTCAACTTCTCCAATAACCAATAAATTCACTTTATTCCTTTCCTTCTTTCACCGTATTTCACAACAGAATATCGTGCTGCAACTGTACACATTTCATAAACTTTCCTTTAAGGCTTATAACCTCTAAGGAGGTTGGATTGGAAAGCATTGTTGATCGAATTGTCAATTTTTATTACAGTCTCCTTTAACGTTTCGAATAATTCCAAATTGTACTGCCAAAGCACTACGATGCAACTTGGTTTTCCATAATAATGTTGTATTATTAAAGTAAAGTGTGATAAAATTCGCGGTCCAGAAATTATTCAAAAATTTCACATGGACCCATCCGGGAACTGGGAAGGGTTTGTGGGGTCACGGTTTTCAGATCTAGCGCCCCACAAATTGCGGCCTTTTGACACACATTTCGGGCGAGGTGGCGGCCATTCTCCACCGTGCGTTTACCGTTAGCTAGACCGTGCGTCGAGACGGAGACACATTGTGTCCCCAGCAGATCGGGATGTCACAATGAGGAAAGGGTCCTGGACGCAGCCCCCTTCTTTGGACATTATTACGGAAGGGTTGGCCGCGGGGCCTTCCTGCATCTGCACCCTGCATCCACCCACGCGGCCACTGGCTATTGACCATATGACATGCTGACCAACATCCCGATGTTTTGAAAAGACTGGCTCTCAACCTGGCTGCTTCGATCTCGTCAGCGTAACGTTTCTATTTGAGACGATGCACGTGAACCGGTGGGCGTTTTCTCATCAACAATGTCCATTTTTACTGACACCATGTGACGCGTAAATAAGAGCTACGTCGATTTAAGTACTTTCGTTTCGTTTCAGAATTTATGCCGTATATTAGATGTATCGGGTGTTATTAGAGTACAGAGACACCCAGAAGAATACTGTAGATTTGTAAAATCGAAGGGGATGAATAATTTATTAAAAGATAACAGAGAAGAAGATAGTTTAAGTTCTTGGTGTCTTGATGATATCTTAAAGTGTCACTTATATGCTTGGACATTACTTTAATCGTTCTATTAATTTAATTAAGGAAATTTGAAGTAATGGTGACTATAGATTGAAAATTTGTTTATGGACTACAGGATTCTTTACGGTAAAAATAAAATGACTCTAGAAAATGTATATACTTTATACGCGTGTTTTTAAGCAATCCGGTTTCTAAGTACCCAGTATAAAAACTTCAGTAAAAAAGTAAGTAATAATAATAAAGTAAGTTTACCGTTCCTCGTAAATTGCGTACTTTACGCAAAACAGCTGAGACGACAACGTCCAAACTGAGAACCATAAGAGATCAACCCCCGTAGGGTACAGCAATCCTCACGATTGTAATCAGCCTCGCGCAGGCTCAATTCCAGTTCATCGAATTCCCTTCCTACAACTTTTACCATCCCTTACAAAAGTGCAACAGCACTGACCGTGTTGGGAAAGGTTAAAACACTATTGTAAATGGAGCCACTAAAAAAAGGAAGGGAAAAAAACGAAGCTGCGCCTACCGAAATTGCTTTAATCTGCAAACGGAGGATGACCGAAGTAAGGAGAGGCTGGATTTTTCGTGTGCCCGGCGAGAATGGTTGTTAAGTAATTTAAACCGTTCCCGAAGTCAGGCGAAGTTAATCCATTACGCTATAATAGAGTTTCCCTTAATCCAAACGGATCCATGCGCCCCTACCAGTTCTTCCTCTCGTCCCGGCCGTTGTAAACGAGCCCTAGCCGTAAGAGGACTCGCGGGTAATAAAAATCGAATGACGGTATTTTTGATGACACTTCTCGTCTAAAAAGCTCAGCAGGAAATCCGGCTGGTTTTTATTGCGTTCGAGAACGCGCAAGTACCGGATTCGAATTCGTAAGGAGCACACATTACTATTTACGACCGCTGCGCCATTATTTTAATGTGCGACAAAGCCCAAAATCGCTGTTCAAACGTGGAACCCTAGCTTTATTGCGGTTTTCCGTGGTAATCAAGGTTCTTTTGTCGATTACGTATCGTCCTAATCTCGCTGAATTCCTTTTACACACACATTTTTGTCCTGGTTAATCATAGGTATGTTCTGTTTAGACCTGTTTAATCCCTGGCACATTATTTTGAGATTATTCCTACGTTAGTAGAGATTTAAGAGACTCCGCAATAAATGCTCGAAGCTTTTATGTATCGGTTTCATCTGAAACAAGTATTCATTTTGGTTCCTCATTTCTTTAGAATTGCAAAATAACACTTACAGATTCTATACAGAAGCGATATAATAACTGGTCTGAAGAACCGAAACCGAAACTGGTATAGCTCAGAACCGATGTACCTAATAACGGTTAGGACCCTATTTCCAGTTGTCGATAACTATTTCAAGTACCGAAACCAATAGCGTAACTGTTTAACCCCTGTCAAAGATCCCCAATGAATTCCTATCTTTTATTAAATTAAACGATGATTATTTAACAATATTTCATTATAAATAATGCTACCGATGCGATGACATTTGGCAAGATAAACGTGCAATAGTAATAAAGCGATTCAATTAAATAATTTAATATTATATGTTTCTCATTTTGTGCATTGTGCTCCCTGAAACCATGTGACATTCAATGTATTAATAAACAAATTTAGTGTACATATCTATGTAAAATAAGTAAATGCAAAATTCTTTATACGAGTACCTGAATCCGTTACCGGCTTAAAGGGTTGACCCTTTGTACGCCAAAAGTTTTTACTAGAAATACTTAGCATTTTCTAATGAGATGCAGATGACATTTTCTGTAATTGATTTATCGAGAAATTGCACATACACTGAGGAAGAAAACTATTTTTTTTCCAATTTTTCACACATTGAATTATACAAAAATCTAATATTAAATATCAAGCTTCACAATTTTGCTGTGTCAAATCAATTGGTGTGCAATCTGGAGTGTAAAGGGTTAAGGGGTGATAGTGCCAAAAATGTTTGGAGTACCTAGCCTGAATAGAGTGCAACAAGGAATGGTAGAAGTTTTCGGTATTCTTGTGGGAATAGAATATTTTCTCTTTTCCTGAAAGGACGGTAGGAAAAAGAGAATGGCGTTCGAAGGACAAGAAAGTGGAACAACGCTACAGAAACGCGGAAAGCTTGGGCCAACCGTGTCACTCTTTCCAGAAGAGTCCTCAAACAAATAGAATGTAAACGCTTTCGGCCTCCGCTCTGCAGATTTTCAACTCTTTACCGTACGGATTAGTAATCGGACACCGAGCGATCTACTCTTGGAAGTTTTATCCTGATGCTTTTCTGACGTGGGCCTCTTGCGAACCGCTCTGCGAAACAGGAACGCGATAGCTGATGAATTTTTGGGCGAACTTTTCCAGATTTTTGTGAAACTACTAGATATACTTTTTAATAGTAATTCATAAATAATAAATAACACAGAAACAAGTTGACTGCCATATTCGTTATATATTAATATCACAATTTTTTACATAGATTTAAAATTTGCAGCTCTCATTTCATTAAACAAACCATTCAAATCTAATAGAATTTCTGAGTACATAAAAAAATCAATTTTTACTAAATCCGCTTTTATTCTTTTCAACCATTAACCCATTGCACTCGATTTATTTTCAATGTTGTTGGGTGCGAACTTATGTTTATTTTTATTATCGTAATAATATTTAATTTTTATAATCTTCTAAAATGTGGTGCTTTCTAAAACAATGTCCAACGTTCTATAACAAATTTGTATTGTCATCTCTAGCATAACATACAAATGTAAAGGGTTGAAAGCTATCATGCAAAAAGGCACGTTCGTGTTATCATTCTATCTTTATACAAAAAACAATGGTCCTTTGAATAATACAAACATTGTGTTACCGATACCTATATCTTTTAATACCATCAAAACAAAATCTGTAAGGGATGAAATTTCATACATAGCAACTTTTAAGGCTTAAACCCTGCGCTACAAGTCGTTAGCGCCCTGTATATACACAATGTACCGTCACAACAGACCAAGTTCCTCCCAGAAAACACTTTTCTCACAGTCTTGGAAAATCCTCCACGATCTTTGTGACGAATAAGACGTATCGGTAAGTCGTTTATACAGGAAGGTATTCACGCGGAAGGGGAAGCGCGGCATTGAATACCGTGTCCAGTGAAAAGAGAGCACTCGGTCAAGGAATAAAATTTCATTCTTGAAGATCGGAGTGAGGGCGTGTCCGCCGATGCTGTGAACGAAACTGCGAAAACCTTCGTGGAGAGAAAGGGTTCCCGCGGGAGAAGGAGGCGTGCGCGGGGACCGGAAATAAGCAAATCTCGAAAAGTCTGTTGGCAAAACTTGCTCGGTGGTCCAACCGCAAGATAAATTGAAAAGTAATTGCTCCTGGTGACACTCGCCTCCGACTTAATGTGTCTTCGACCATTGCACTTCACCCTTTTTTTGTAAACGTTCTGGACAGCCATGGCGTCGGATTCTGTTAAAAGGGCTAATGCCCGTCTAGAAGCGACTTGTTGGCTAGGACCTCCCGCCACGTCTTCTTCCTCTTCGACGTAAATAAATAATCTCTTCTGATCGTTGAAGGAACCATTTATTAGAAACATCGTTGCACCTCTATGTTAATAGCTTATTACCGTAAACATAAAAGTTATGTACAAATAGAAAAATTCATGAACGATAAAGAAGTTGAAGGTTTTTGAAGTACGTAGTTTCATAGTAGCAGATGAAGTTTATTGTATATAAATTTGAAGATTAAATATCCGCAAGTGAGAAGTGATAGTTTTTACATTAGATGTTATAAAATAGGAGGTTAATTATTAGGTAGTTGTCTAAGTTTATAGAAAACATACTAGAGTAGCAATGATAAAAACAAAATATGAGGGGTAAACAATATTTTAAATTATGTAAATTCTAGATGCAATACTCATTTTCCAACTCTGTTGCAGTCGATTGAGGATACATTGTTGCATCGCAATAGTAACAATAGCGGTGTCGACGGAATTTAGTTTTATATCACGGGTCCACAAAGCTTATGCGGTGTTCAGAGCAACTGTTTATCTTTCGTATTGCGTTGTCTTAGCGACAGGGAGAAGTAAGAACGGGGTGATTGTCACCATTAACGAACGGTCCGCTGGAAATGCGAGAGGTTTTATTGCACGTTATAAGGAAACTATAGCGGCTACCTGCCATCGTTACTCGGCCATGCTGACCGCTTAATACGAAACCATTCCGTCTTTTCAGCGAACGCCACACAATGACCATTCACACGGTACGATCATTCCCATTCCGATGTTCTCGTGCTTAGCGTAAAGAAATATATCTTTTATTTACATTTTTAATGAAAGGATTATCAGTTGCTGGGTAAATTATCATTTCCCAAGGATTTCACGCGTTAATGTTGTTTAATTGGTCATTATCTAGGATACTACTGTGGGGGAGGAAAATTTTGGTATTTACGTATAATACGGGCCACTATTATTTTCTAATTGCCGGTCGCGCTAATCTGTTATTTGGATTAGACCTGGATAAGTATTTATTTAATGTTCGAACACATTATTATATGTTGCAATCATTATTAATATTTTATTTTTTAAACACAAAGCCGGTCCGTATAATACGTAAGTACCACAATTTTTATATAATGCTTTAAAGGCTGAGCACCTTTTGCTTTGCTTTCATTTCCAAGCTACTTCAATTAAAAAATTGCGTTTGTACACAAGCAACGAACATGACGGAAAAGATCTGTTTGTCTACAATGATTTAATGGAATTAATTGCAAAGGATATGAATATATTTTTTAATATCTTATGATATTGATGAATATTTTGTCAAATATTCTCCTGGAATTTCCGACGTTTAAATGAAAAGTTTACTTTTGGTCCTCAGGATTAACGTGTTAATTCGCGAGGCAATCGGCTCTTTTTTTTTATTTCTCCCTCTTAGGTAGGTGCACGGAAGCAGTTTGCTTCCCAAGTAACAGGGAGCATGGTAAATATCGATTATGATCTTTTGTATCGAACTTCTGACGACTGTTTCGTCAGTAGGGCCATCACGTTCCGTTACAAGTTTAACGTGTCATAAATGTTTCGGGAGGTTCTTAAGGTTGAGGTGTTATTCAACGTCGAACTGTGTACCCGAGGAGTCTACTGACAATGATCGTAAACGAAGGCATTGCGTGAATTCGATTCCAGGAAGTATTACCGTTATCAAATGTTATGGTACTGACAATGAGGGGAACTCGAGAAACACAAGCGACTTCACCGAAGTTGCGTTGTTTCAAATTATCGGACGCTTCCTATTAGTCATTTGCGTTATCTAACGTTACATACAAATAATGAAGTAAGTTACTGATAATTCGACTATTGCGTCAATGGACCCACGGGCGGTCCGCGTGTGATAATATATCTTAAAGAGGCTTGCGGGAGACAAAAAGAAATACAGTTTCATAATGCTGGAGAGCAATAAACAGTATTTCACAATGAGAACGCTTGAAAATACATTTAATAAACATGCTTTCATAAGATAAGATATAAATAAATTGAAGAACTGTTTTTCAATTAAATTAATTTGACTGGTGCACAAGGGATAAAATAATTCAGTCTCGTACGTGAGAATTACGAAACATAAAATGAAAAATGGTGGTAATACCTTTCTTATTTTGGTACCCATTATTTGCTATTTTAAAATATAATATAGTTTTATGAAACCTGTGAAAATCTTATTTTTTACTTTAAGATCATATCTACGAGGGAAGGGTACATTTAATTTAATCCTGGCTTTGTTATTCACGTACATCAAATATTTTTAATAGTTTCACTTTTCATAGAAAATCACTAGAGAAGAACTGCTAATAATAACATGTAGTCCTCCAAACGTTAATAGATCTCTAAAAACTGATACAATGAAAATTAAAGTAAAAAGAATAGATAAAAAATTATTCGTGAATTAAAAACTCCGCATCGCGTGAATGATAATTACACGAAACTTATGAAACATCATGTTTCCCGAAAATGACAGAGCAATCAGTACCATTGACGATTCCGTTTCATACGGAAACGGACCAGCCGCAAAACGGGGCATTCGAAACGATCCCATTCGATCCATGAATTGAGATGTTTCCACGGCAAATCATCGCGAGGATTTTGCATCGCGTACCGTTACATCGTTCGTGTATCGTTCCGTGAGCTCGGGGGCAGATGCAAATGCGCGGTGGGCCATTCATCTGTCGTCGGCCGACGGCCACGGGAAAAATCGCAAATAACGGGTTGCGGTCTGCCCCGGCACCATAGAAATCTGGGTTATGTGGCCAAAAGAGCAAAAATTTGTATACATGGGAAAAGAGGCGGTGCGGGTGAATTGAGCGCCGGGGGTGCTTTTCTATGGCGGACATGGCGTTTTAACGGGCCCCGGAGCGAAAGACTAAATTTGGCGTGATCTCGGGACGAAGACATAATGAGACGTCTCTACTATCGTGCATAACTGTACCTTCCCCATCCTTTTTTCTCTACTTTTCTCACATTCTCCTAAAAATTTAAAGAAAATCGACTCGCCCAAAATTCAAGTGTTAATTCGTTCAAATATTGTGAGGAATGAATCGGACACTGTGTGTGTTTTGTGAATAAATATCAATCCTGTTAATATTCTTAGATCGGTTTCTACCGCGCCCCAGAGAACAATAACACAAAACGGGATCCTTTTGCAGTTAGAAGGAATAGAATCTTTGGTGGTTGCTAACTTCGGATTACAATGAATAATGAAATTAAGAATACAAACAAGACTCGAGTAAGTCTGCTTAGAATTTTAGTATTATGGTCTCTGGAAGAAGCCTTTCTCATTGTTGGCGAAGAAAGATGCGGAGGAGACAATGGAGATGAGACTGAAGAGCTCTGGAATTAACACGTTAAGAGCTTCGAGAATATTGAATGTCTCTCGATTTTTCTATCTTTTTATAGTTTCCAGTTTTTTCAGACAAATTGTCGAAAATTCACATCCAACAGAAAATAATGTCTTGATTATCCAATTACTGAAATTATTATTGCATTATCTAAAACAATATGACAAATATTGGCCAAAGAAATGAGAGAAAAATTTGATGTCCACATGAGTATACATAGTCCATTCATAAAACTGAGTCATTAGTCAGAATGGGTTAGAGAAAAGAAACCCATCTTCCGGTGCGACGGAATGAAAATCGCCATATGTTGTCCATTCCCAACGAGAAAGGTCTGCCGAAGATCCATCAACGACAACGAGCCTTCAAGGTGCAAGCTCAAACTAGCCCGAAGCATCTCTCGCCCCGTTCAACGGATATCTAAAGATTTCGCAAATTTTACTCGGCCGCAACGCTTTCGCCAGTTAATTTATGAGCACTTTACGCAAATTCCACGATTCCCCGCATCCCTTTCGCCGCAGCTGATCATAAATCACGCGACACGGGCCAGAAACAAAAGTTCATGCGAAATGGCACGGGAAATGGAGAAGGAAAGGCCCAAGCTCCGAAAGGGTTATGCAGCAATTTCAATATTCAGAAACAGTTAAGTGTTATACGAGAGACGCCCTGCCGTTGCCAAGGTACTGGCTACCAAACGTCGAAAATTTAACAACCCGTTTGTGCGCCAAAGGATTTCGTAGGGCAAACCGAAAGGTTTTACTGTGGCAGCCCATAACTGGAATTTTAGAAGACCTGAGGTCATGACGGCTGGATTAATTTAGCGGGATTCAGTTGTTCCAGGTCAAAAAGGTGCTGCAATCGATTTCCATTGACAGAAAATGAAAGCTGCCGCGACAGGTACGGTGGCGAGTTGATGACCTCTAGGGACCATAAATCTGCACGCAACGCTAAGTTTCTCGGGCGTGGGACAAGCGTTGCCCTTTTAATACACGCCCACTTCATCTCGCTTGTCTTCAGATCTACTCTTTTCAATCGAACCTTTCTCCCTGCAATCTTGGTATCATTCTTACAATAGATATATAAAATATGAACTCGTTAGATGAAATAGTTTTACAAACGATTTCTATTGAAATACTTCGCTAAATACTTCGCCATACAACTACGAGTTTTTAATGATCGTTATTCCAGTTAGAATATAAAAAGATGAATTAACTCTTTGCGGATGAGTGTCGACATTTCGTCGAGACGAAACGTTCATATATAGAGGACTAAATCGTAGACAAATGATTCAATTACTCGGACAGCAAGAGATTAGCATGTAGTTTCTGTTTCTTCTATTGTTTAAGCAATTGATATATAATTTAGCTTCATCTGTTGAAGGTTTCGTGCATTTCAATGAATCTTCGTCCGCAAAGGATTAATACTGCCACACAGATCATTTCCACGTCATAAATCCAATCTCTACAGTTTCATAATCTAATGAAAAAAATGTACCCGCAATTTATTAAAATCTGCTACGTTTCCTAGGATTAATGGTATACCTAACCTCATTGTAAACGGTGTAAAAAAATTTATGACTACATAGTTAAGAAATGGATTTAGAAAAAGAAATGGAAACAAAAGATACCGAAGAGTCGCTACATCTACGACGAATCATTTAATGGTAGATACAAGAGTAGACATCCTCAGCCATGCAATCACGGGTACCTAGGTAATTGCGTGAATGTAAGGACCGGTAAACATTTTGGAAATAGTAAATGGTGATCGCGTGCCAGTCCCACCCTGGTGCTATGGTCATCAGACATCCACTCCCCACCATTTTCCAAGGCGGACTCCTACCCTTGGGTCTTGTAAGGGTTGGCCGGTATATAAACGAAACTGTACCCCCTCTCGTCCTAAACGATTTTGGCGTTTCGCTCCGTAAACACGTCTTTACTCAAAAATTGTAAGCACTCGGCTGTTTGAAGTGTTCCTGAACCGCTCGATACCGAACAATTGTCAACAATTTCGGGAAACGCTAATTCGACATTACCATTCAGTGTTGTGATACAAGTGACCGGTGCCTGACCTTGGATTATTAATTAGGTAAGAGCTAGACCCTGTTGACGATCGCAGTTCCTTGCCGAGTATAGAAGTACGTAGACTTACGTAATTATCGTAGCTCGCGATTAATATACCGATCACCGTCGAAGAAATTGATCGGTTGTAAAGAGAGAATGAAGTTCACTTTTCTTAGTGAATTTTGATGATTACAGTCTTGTTTTAGTATTGTCAAAATCAAAGTTCCTTTTCTAAATTGTATAAAAACATTTGTCACTCGTGGTTTTCGTTGACTTTCCACCGATTTCGAAAGGTTCTTATCAACGATCTCGACGCACGATTTACTGCTTTCGTTTATCGCGCTCGTTCCGACCGAACTGTGCACCGGCGAGCACAGCCTATTAAATAATACGAATCGAAAGTGCGTTGCAATCGGCGCGAACCGGAAATTTCAATAATTTACGGCCAACTTTGAAATACAATGTCTTTAATTACTTATCGTTTTCCCACAGGTGGTAGACAATTGCAACATGGAGGCACACAACAGGCTAGTGGACAATATGCGAGCACTGGACTTCTCAACCTTCGTGAAAAAGACACCGACGGAAGAATCCACAGAGTTGCCGGTCCTAGATCTTTCGTATAAGAAACAGAGTCCGCCGACGTCACAAGCATCGAGCACGAGAACCAATTTGACGACGACAAGCGACGAACAACAGACGACCCAGTTCAGCGATCTCGAGCGGAAGAGCCCTTTCGAAGGACGAACGTTCATGGTGACACCGCCGTACGAAACGGATTCACCGACGAAAAGGAAGCTTGAGCCGATTTACAATTACTCGAACGTCACGAGCAACATGATCGAGCAACAGGCAGGTTTATCAATGTTGCCGACGAATCTGCAGATGTCGATGGTCTCGACCATGCCAATGTTGTACCCGCCAAACAGCGAAACAATTTCGCCAGTTTCGTTAATCAGCAGTTCCATCGCGTCAGCGACTTCTACGACACCTGGCAAAGAAACGACGAGCACGGAAATTAACAAGAAGACACCTAGGCCTTTCAAAGCGTACCCTAAGGACCCACTGTCTCTCAGCATGAACTCGCCTGAGTTATTGTACGATCAGAATTCGGGTGAAGCTTACACGGAGTTTAGGAAGCGGATGCTTGAGTCGGTGAAGCGATCGAACGAAGGAAGCAACATCAAGATGCGTCGCACGACCAAAAGTCCTGGATTACCAACCAGCACCGTTGACGAGAAGGATGCAGCGTACTGGGAGAGGAGGAGGAAGAACAATGAGGCTGCGAAACGATCCAGGGACGCTAGAAGGGCGAAAGAAGATGAAATAGCCATCAGGGCTGCCTTCCTAGAACAGGAAAACCTGAAGCTGAAGTATGAATTAATTGCTCTGAGGAACGAAACGGCGAAACTCAGGTGTTTGGTTTATTCGACGTAATTTTGTTAAAAGTTCGGTTATTTTGTTGTTGATATATATTCGAGGTCACGGACACTTAAGCAAGGACACCACCTATAGATATTTTAAATATAAGTAAACAGTAAGAACTTTTTTGTTAATAATAATTAACACATTAAGTGCACAAGTCCGTTTTGCTTGCCATTCCGTTCAGGCCCACTGTTTTGTATTATATTTCTTTTCTTAGAACACTGACTGAACAAATACCGATGTCCCTTAAGCGAAAACTTCTGATTTTTACTGGGTGTACAACTGTGATCTTCTCATTTATTTTTATATTTTTTCTAAGCCAAAACGCTTCAAGAAAATTAGGAAAGGAAAAAATTGATTCTTTTTATACATCTAGGTGATGTTCTTACTGTTCAAGCTTGTTTTTATTTCTTTAAATTATTTTGGAGATTCCAGTTACATGACAGAAGTTATTTGATGTTGTTTGATTATTCTTGCTATAAAAATCCAGGATATTTAGATCTTTGGATTCATAAGGATGTAATATATTATGTAAGAAATATACACACGCGCAGTAGGTTATTTAATGTTAGCTTTACCAAAGTATAAAGTTTAAGAATTAATTTGTGCCAATGTTCTGACAACTGTAAGACTGAACGTATTTAGGAAATAATAGTATAAGCAAATGAAAGCAGTCAAATTTATTTAAAGAATCATATATATTAAATCAAATTATCTAAGAACAGAATGTATATAAACAAACTTGCGATAGTAGTTACCTAATGTGTGCAAATTCTTTGAACTGCATTGTAAATATAAATATTATTATGATATGTAAGATATATTTATAATAAAACAAATGCTTTAAAAAATTGTCATTTATTATAAAATCCATTTCTCCCAATACACATTTATTTTTACCTTTGTCAACAGTATCATGTAGGTAATGACTCGGCTAAGTCCATCAAAGTTTCTGTCTCTAAGACATTCTTTTCACTACTCTGATTCTTGGTAAGTGCCTTTGTATATGACTTTTGTATTTGTCGAGGAACAAACATTAGAGAAGATGAACTGCTAGCAGTATTCGAAGCAGTCAATTGACTTGCATTGATGTTACTATTTAGTGGAACAGTGATTTTTGATGCAGCAGTAAACATTTTACTTCTTTGATTCTTATTTAATTGTGGCTTCATACTTTTTGGTTGCTTCACTTCATGTTCACATTCCTCGACCTCCATTTTATCTTTAGGTTCATTTTTTATAGTATGAGGAATGTTATCAAATCGAAAATTTTTGGGAAATTTATGTACATTTATGCAGTGATCTCTCCTTTCTACTGAATTATTAAATTTTAAATCACATTCGGAAACATAACATTGATACTATAAAAAAAGATATAAATATTAATGAAAACATTAATATATATATATATAAGATACTAATAGTTCTATAAATACCATTGCTTGCTTTGCAGATAATACTTGAAAAAAGCTGTCATGGCTTTCCTGAATATGAATATCTAACAGTCTTGGATTTGGCAAACATTTTTTACATTCTGCACACGCGTAACGATGACTACTGTTATAATGCATTTCAAAATCTACTAATGTTTTAAACGTAGCTTTACAACCAGTGGCATAACAAGGAAATTCTTTAATACTGGAATGAAAAGTGGTAAGTCATTACTATGATCTAAATGATAAAACTACATCAGTGTTAGGTTATGAATCTTTCGAAAGAAATTATAAAGAATAAAAAATATTTATTTACACTCCATGACATAATTCTTCGTCGTCTTCAACGGTAACACCTTTCCTTTGAAAAATTTTGCAAACTCGGTACGAACTTCCAAAAAATGGATCATCTATGGGTCTTAATCCAACACCTACGTTATGTAAAAATTCCTCCATCTTCTTAATAATACAACTTACAATAACACTTTATTAAAAATAAAATTACTTATATATTCAATAGTACACTTTAAATTTATTTAGAATAATTAATTAAAATAATAACATCTATATAAGTTAAGACACTGTCACACAACAATCGTGACAACAACGCGATAGCAGCGCACTCTGTTCCCTGGGCGATGATTTAAATCGAGAACTATCGATGTACTGACACAAATGGATAAATTTCGATACTCGAAAATTTGATTGCGGGACCAGAAGAAGTGTAGTGTGTATTCGAGGAAGAGGACCGCGTAAAGATGCTCCAAATAAAATAAAAAAGTAGGGAATAATTCTTAAGCACACGCTAAAAACAATACTATCAGTTTCTTTAATGTGTCTGGGTACTGATTAGAACGTAAGACATTAAAATGTGAATGAAAAAGAGCAGAAACAGCAAAAAAAGTTGGTGAGTAAAACGTACTCCATTCTTCTAACGGCTTCTTCCGTTAAGATTTAATATTGTTCATTGTCTGTTATTAATTTAAGTTACTTTGAGCTTTTGGTCAAATCAACATTATAACTCGATATTAAGAAATTATTAATTCGGATAATGAAGCGATAAATTATAAATATATATATTTACATAATGTTAGTAATTTATTCAACAAGTAAGCGAGTCTTCAAATTTTCTAGAATGTCAGCCATCTTGCCCTCCAGTTCATTGCGTCTTCGCATTTCCTCTCGCTTATCCTGCAACATATTTCCAATATTGTAAATTATAATTGAAATTTATTTTATATTAACAGAAATACTATATATATTTATTTTGTACCAGGGTAATTTATTCAAAGGATACAATATTTTATTACACTATTTAACATATTTTATAATAATTTATTTATCAGTATTATAGCTCTTTAAAAGATACTATAAATATAATTATTGCACTCTATTATAATTTTTTCAACTTTTGTAATCGTTTAATATTACATATAATATAAAATAATGAAGGATCAATATAGGACATCTCATTATCTCATTCTTAAAAAGAATATTTAGAAAATGGGTCAAACCCTTTCAAGGTCATCTGAACGTTTCTTACAATTAATGTTTTATATATTTTATGATATTTATAAGCACCAATTAAATATCATAAATAATAGCGCACATATGATAACTGAAATCATTGCAATATTACTTAAAACCAGAATTGACCTTGCATCAACTTCACATTTTCCACAATAATATACATACCCATATACCGTGGGATGTTCTCAACAAACAATGTAGATCCTAATTACTATAAAATGTGAACGTAGTCAACGTAACCCGTTGGCCTATTCAGCTCCATGGTTTTTTGTGCCGAAATCCCCACATCGGGAGCAACGCCAACGTAACTTCCGACTCTGACTTTCCCATTCGCATTTTCTGGTTCACTGGTAAATTTCGTGAGACTGTCGTCATGCCTATAGGCGTTCTGTCGTGGCACAGATACGTCAATCTCTTTTTCGTTATCCACTTTTTGGTCAAACTGGTAATTCATTAGGGGGACATGAAAGTATGCTGGTACAGGTTCGATAAAAGGACCTGGCGGTGCAAACTGCGGCACCATCACTTGGAACTCCCCTATATTCTGATTCTTCACGTCAGGCTTTTTCGTAGTGTCCACTGGAGATCTGTCAGTATAGTAGCTCTCAATACCAGTTACACTTTTCTCAGTGCTACGCTTCAAATTCTCGAACCTTTTCGGTTGCATCCTCGAAGTTTGCCGTTGAGCAGGATGTATTATCTCGATATTTGGACGATTCGTGGTCCTATAGTTGTCGTTCGTGGCATACTTATAACGGTCCCAGTAGTCTGTTGCTTCTGTTCCTCGATGATAATGCTGCTGCGGCGGTTTCGCGCTCGTAGATGCTGAACGCGTACGATTATCTCGGTTCATTAGTTCAGTCGACTGTCTCGTAGACACTTTTCCAAACTTTGAACCGTTTTTTAATTTTTCACGTGAGCTGTCTTCAGGTGACGTTAGGTGTCCTCGGTTTCTTTGATTATTATTGGTCATTCTGCTTTCAGTTTTTCGAACATTTGTTCTTTGAACTTGTGTCTCATCCTTGCCAACAGCATTTGGAGCTTTAACGTACCTTCGACTAGGTCTTCCTGAGACATCGTCAGGTTGAATGGTACCATCCAAAACGAAATCAAATGGAGGTGGCCATACTTGTAGATTCTTTTGTTCGCCTTCGTGAAGCTTCTTCGGCAAATTTCGTTCTGGGATAGTCGCCTTAGGTTTCAGGTTTTCCTTCTTCGGTCTTCTAGATGTCTTGCTTGGTACCTTCTTATTAGCATCTCTGCTAGGTACCTTATTGATTCTATTTAATTTTTCAATCGCTGAAAATCTAGACTTTGCCTTTTTCGTCTCTTCAGGGGCAGAGACATACCGAGCAGGCACAATTAGAGGCGTGAAATTAGTGAAGTCTACTTCTTCGCTTATCTTTTCATCCAATTGGGATTCATTTCTTCTATTAGATTTGTCGAATAATTTACTAGGCTGATTAGACGTATTCTCTTCGGCATTTTTCTCATCTTCTTTCCTCTTAGTATCTGTATCATCCTCCAAACTATATTCTTCATACTTATTCCTCGCTGGTGGATTGTGTTCTTCCCTTTCATTTTCATTGCTCCCGTCTTCTTCCTCGATAGATCGCGAAGAGTCCTCGTCATTCAGGTTTCCCCCTGAATCCGACATCTTGAACCCACTAGCTTGTTTGAATTGTCCAAAAAAATTTGCAAGTCCATCTTCCAACTCGCTGCTATTCAGAAGCTCACCATAGCTGTTTCTAAGCTGCTGGGGCCATTGATGTTCATCATCGCCGCTGATTGGCAAAGGCTCATTGATCGGAACATTACTGTAATTATCATTGATGGGACCCTCTTCTTGCTGCTTATTAGGCCTCTGATCGGTTTCGTAATCCTCCTGAGAATTGTCTTGCAATTCCTTCGATCCCTCACTTGGAACCCTACCTTGATTCTGATATCCTTCTCTTGAATCCTCTTCCTCCACCGAAGAATAATTATCATAATTGTCTTTCTCCTTCCCATTGCATTTAGAATCTTCACCCCTATTTCCTTTCTCTTGATTCAACTCTCTATCATCTTCTTTATCATAGCCATAATCCCTCAGGCGATTTCGATACTCCTCTTGCAGTCTCAGTATCTCAGCATGCTCTGCTTGCTTGCGTTCCAGTTCAGTTAATCTTTCATCATACTCCTTTTTCCACGGAGGTTCATTCGCGGAGTGGTAATTAATCTGCAACGGTGGCGATTTCACATTCTGTCCACTTTGGACCGGTTGACTCGTTGGCTTCACTGAACTTTCATTCTTCCTGGTTACCATTTCTTGTTGCCTGGTGACAGAAATATATCGAATGGGTTCGGGATATGTCAACTTGATGTCTTGCGGAGGAATTTCCGGTAAAGCTGGTTGCGGTATCACTGGCAAGGGTATGTTCACCAAAAGAGGTGCCACCGGTTGTCTGGCGTCAGGCATTTTAGGGGTTGCTGGTGCTGGGGTTGTTCCGTTCATCATGGAACCAGAAGTGCTGTTTCCATGGAAAACCTGCTCGTATTCTTGCAACTGAGTTAACAGACTGCCATTGCTACCGAAATTCAGGACACCGGTGAATCTGATAGTCTCTCGTTGCCTAGGTGCAGGTGTAGTAGAGGACATGGTAGAATTCATGGAGGCTGTTTGGTTAGCTGATAAAGCGAGCACACCTTCATTAGGAGGTGGATTGCTCGGATCCACGTTTGGCAATGATGCCACTTGAATTGGGCTTACATCGTAACCAAACACTTGCGCCAATCCTGATAGGATCAGACCCAATGCTCGCTTATCCCGCGGATTGCCTTCATCTAAATAAATACGAAGTTTCTCGGATTGAAGCAATTCCGATGGATCCAAAATGGATCGATTTTCCCCTTGATCCTCTTCATCGTCAGCAGCCACTGTACACGATAAGCAGAGGCAACACAGCGCGTAGAAAGTTCTAAGTTTCATGTTTGACGCTCGAACACTTACTGTTTGGTGATCGATCACACTTTTGCGCACTAGAGTGAACACTGTGACATTTTTCAGTCACGTTGTCCTTGAGCCACGAACTGTTTTGGATTCTACATTTTATTGTCAACCTGTGGTCTTTGCTTATCGGTTGGAATCGTTGAATTGTTCGATGATCAACGGGACTTAGTGGCGAACGATGAAAATCGGGCTACGTAGTCCATCACGCGGCGAACTATCGCGTGCTCCGGCGCAACAGTACTTTTAAACTTCAGCAGCCACCGGTAACTGTCCACCGACTGACTCGCTCAAACGTCGTTAAACAAAGCGCAAGCTGGCGGGGACGGATTTTTGCATAACGTCGGAAAGAAATGTCGAGTTTCTCCTCAATTGCACAGACCTGCCCGCTGATTTGAGACAACTGAAGCGGCACGGCGCACCGCGGGAAAGAAACACCGCGGAACACCGCAGGATCAGACGGCCACCGCTTCCTCAGCCGCACACAATAGATTCTAGGCCGGTTTAATTGCACGCGTTGTCACGGGGCGTAATTAAGAGAGGCGAATGGCTAGCGTTCTCCTAATGAAGTGAGAGCACATGCAATTGTCCCGAGGCTAATTATTTTTCACTTTATCAGATATGGTGGTTTATCAAATTTTTGAACGACTGTGGCAGAATGTTAGTCTCTGTTAATTACTTTAGAACTCGTTATTTTTAGCGCAATTTATGCAGTTATTTTAATCATTTTTCATGACTGATAGATTTGATGATGCGGATGTAAATTTGAATATAGTTTTTGAAAAATTTATTATTCTGGTAGAATTTATGTAGTAGGATGTTTCACGAGGAAAAATATTCAGTTATATTTTCAATAAAAGCTATTTGATTTTTGTTTAAATATTGCTATAAATAAGAAATACAAAAAATTGCATTTAGTTAAGGTATGAATAATATTATCACTTAAAAATGGCATTGAATTCCAAACTGTACTTAACAAATAGCATGAGAAAACGTGCGCTGCAGACCATAAAACCAAGACGAAATTGTGAGTAACACGTTTTCATTGACAAATAGTTTTTACTAATGAATTGTTAGGTGGCACTCGTAACTGCATGATTTCACTATGTCCTTAGCTAAGCGAAAGGTACGCGCGCAGACAATTATAATTAATGTCTTGAGAAGAATAGAACTAGAATTGCCTTAGATAGCTTAATTCAATAGAATTATACCTTGTCTTGATGAATATATCTTGAGAAGAATTTAAAACGTTCGTTTCTACATACAATGAATAGAAGTAGCATGTGCACACAGTTCCTCTACAAAAGTAACTCTACAGATCAGTAGATAGTATTATAAAGATTTCAATCTCTGAAATCACCTTAATCTCTCATTGAATAATACAAATTACCCCTTTATTCTATATATTCCAAGCAAAGGAAAATAAATCTTTCCAACTCCATGACAAATAAGAGAAGAACTACTACAAAACTATTTCAATTCATTATAATTTAATCTAGTTATCTCAATTTTCCTTTATCCTATTAATTCCATTCGATGCAAATGTTGCACGTCTTCTGAACCTGCGGATTCCTCACCCACCGCGGTTGCCATAAAACATCATAACAAATCGGCCGTTTAGATTGGAAACTTTAGTTCGCGTGCGAAAAAGATCAATTTCTCCTGCATTCTTTTACTTCACACATTTTATTACCGCCAATTTACCGATCATTGCCCAACACAGGAAACGAGCCTATTGATGGTGGATAGCCACGGTGAAAAATTCAATAGACCGACACGGGAGAGAGAGCAGGTGAAAATAAATATAGAGGCACACACGAAATTGTTTCTCGACTCCAGATCAGCGAGATTCCGTTGCGAAAGAGCGTCGTTCAATCCGTAACGACTGCCCTGATATTACGGTAATCGGTATCAAACTGTCACCGATATTGGCCAATTCGCGGCGAAGCGACGTTACGAACAATCAGCCGCGTCAAGTTTAGATGCTCGCCCGGCGTCGGCTTTCATAAGTATGTCGATTATGTCACCTGTTCTCCACCCAGAGAAAGTTCGAACAAACGGTGTCGCGTCGATTTCCTGGACTGGTGTGACAAAAACCTCCTTAAGGGGACAATTGCGTCGTGCTGCCGGGACGAACGAACGGTGAAAAAAGGGGAAAGAACAGAGCAAAGCAGATTTAACGAAGTTTCCAGCGGCGCGACGCTGTCCGGGAAAAGGGCCCGTTTTTATGTAACCACCAGTTCCTGCTTGTTGCTCGTCGGCTGACCCCGGGAATACGGCCTACCGGTCGTTCCAAATCTTTACTCGATCGACTGGCATGCCGGTAATTACTTAATTACTTCGACAGGATAATTATGGGGCGCGCGAAATACGGCGAATTGCGTGCCGCTTTTGGGAACGTTCCCAGGAAGATCTTTTTTTCATTATCCTTTCGTGAGAACAATGGAGGATTTAAATATTATTGTAGAGAAACTGCTTAGGATCATCGCGGAGATTATTTTACAATGGCGAAGTTTCCATGGAATCGGTTGCGTCGCTAGCGATATCTACGCTTCGATGCATGTTTAATCCTTCGCCGTGTTCCTTTCGTGGCGATTGCATGATCAGGTCTGTTTGCGAGTGGTAATTGAAGTAATTAATTGGAGGAGACTTCATTAGTTGCTGCTGCGAACTGCGGGGTGAACTTTAATGTCTTCAGTTGTTCGAATGTTTTGCGAAAGGTAATTTTAGAAATGTAGTTTGTAATATATGATTCTATTCATAATTCTATTATCAGTATTATAGAAATCATATATTACAAAATACATTTCTGAAATGAACTTTCGCAAAATATTCGAACGACTGAAGTATTCTAAAGAATTCTTTACATTCTTTGGAATTCAGCAATTAACGTTTCAACTTAGACGAGTGGAACTCTATATAAAAAAGTAAATCGGGAACATAGAGTCAATTCCAATTAAGTTATATTAAATTTACACTCAAGAGAAGAAATTATCAGCAAGTCGAAAATGATCAGTTATTGAAGTATTCAAATAAAAAGTAATGATGAATTTTATTTAATATTAAACATACGAAGGATTCATGCTCAGAATACAAATTAGAGTTCTTCTTGCGCCCTTGAATTCTAACGACTCATCATGTAAATCAAATCGAACTCTCCACCTCCCATTGACGCGTAATAATAGAATAATTCTTCCCTTACGTAACCACGTTATAATTAAGGATACAAATTAAGACTCACCAGAACATATGTTCCGCATGTACGCGTTACCGTCTCTGGTACCAGACGATGGTATCTATCGTCGAGGCTCGTTGTTACGTGCATCTCGGTAATCCCATAAATGGAAACTGTATCGGGAACTTGTCAATCGGGGAATTAGAAAAGTCTAGTAGACCCGGAGCCCGGCACGCATAACGCCAGAAACGATTTCCATACGGTATTGGGTATAAAAGAACTGTCCACCCCTTTGGACCACACAGTGTGACTGTGAGCCAGGTTTAACCATGAACCTTCTGGTAAGGCACGATTCCATCGTGGCAGACTTTTCTGCGAGAGTTTCATTCGATTTCATTTTACCGTATCGTTCCTCGGATTTAGTGTGTTAGTGATTTTCCATGGAGAGTTCAGTGCTTTAGTGACGTCAGATCATGATTCCAGCCGCTGTTTTTATTGGTCGCTTTCGCGTTCAGCGCGTGTGCCACCGTGCCCGAGAAGCTGACAAATGCCAATGACGCTACCGAACAGACAGTTCTTGATAATCAGGCGCAAGCTAATCCTCAGGAAGAAGATGGCGATAAGAAAGTAGCTAAGAGAAGTTACGGCTGGGGCCCTTGGGGTTATGGAGGAGGGTATAGTTATGGATGGCCTTGGTAGGTAGATCACTATAGATGAGATTGAAGGGAGGATATTGGCTGCAGAGATTCTTCTGTGGAATTATTTTGTGCGTATTCCGTTTGAAAGAGATTTTGTACTGAAACATTTAGAAGAAATTGTTTAGATCTTAAAACAAGATTTTAGAATATCTAAATCTAGTCTGAGATGAATAAGATTTTTTAAAGAATTTATTATTTTGAATCTTACAAATGTTTTTTTGAGAATGTGGCTTATATTTGAAAGTTTCAGCTATGAAGAATCATAATAATAATTTTTGGAAATAAATATAAATGTCTCTGATTATCTGTATTTGATAAATAGGAAGTTATCAAAGTTTTAATCATATTAATAGATGCAGATTACTAATAAATTCATTGGGGTAATACAATTCTACAATGAAACGAATCTCTGCAGTAATTGGGTTAATGTGATGTTTAGATATTTTAGGGTCAAAATGCTCACAAATCCCGATTTTAGGTACGGCTTTGGCCATGGATGGTACCCTGGATGGTACCCCGGATGGCCTGTCTTCTATGGTCATGGTTATGGTGGATATCGTGGCTGGTACAAGGGGTGGTAAATAAAAGAAGATAAAATCGTCAATTTTATAAATATGTATATCACAGTTTCCATGCTATCTAAGTGTTTTTTGCACTAAATAATTATTAAATCCACTTAAGTCTCGACTTCGCTTAAGCAGGAGAATATTCAATATGATACCAAGACTGAGTATTGTGTTAAACCAAGATACTTTATCAATGCCGTAAGGAGAAATTATTATTGTTGATACTTAATGAAATAAAGTGAAGTGTAATTGAGGAAAATATTCTGTTACTTCCTTCGCGCGTATTTCAAATGACCATTTTGCAAAATGAATGGCTGAAAAAGAATTATATACCACTAACAAATTCATTAATAACTAATATTGTATATCTGAATCTCTCTCAACCAAATAATTAAATCAATAACATTAACCAGGTTTAATGTTTAAGTAAAAATTTCCGAGAAATATATTAAATAATTCATGACACAAGAAAGAGGATTGAATTAATTCAACACATACCCTCATACGTTTCCTCACGTAAGTGGCCAATATTTCCTCGCATTCGGTCAAATTTTTATCCGTGTCCTGTAATAATCAAGACATGTATACATTATGCTTTATTAAAGTATAAATCATACGTGTCATTGTAGAGATGCTTGTCGGATTTTTGTAAATCAACCTTCAAGATGTTCGTCAGTTCCTTGATCTTCTGTAGCTTAGCTCGCTGATCTTCCGTCGAACCGTTACACACTAGATGCTGATTCGTCGCGTACATTGCAAGCAGAGATCAGGGACGTTTTACTTTTTCTGCTTTCGCCGCAGAAATCCATAACACTTGTCGTTCGTCGAGACATTCCGTATACACCTGATATGCGGCATATTGTTGCTTGGATACGAATGTGACAACACAAATACTATCGGACAAATCTCTTCTACTTGCAAAGTAATTTTCTCTTTGTATTCATAAAAACTTCTGAATATTTACTGATTTTATTGATTTGTTTTATCAGTATTTTATTACTTTTTTTATTTATATTTATCACTGCTTTATCGTTTACTGATGGGAAGTACTCTGTCTTGTCTATAGTCGGTAATAAAGTAACATTCGGTGATAGTCGGTAATAAATATATATTTATATCACCGACGAAAGAGAGAATTAACTGGACATTTAATGTAAATTTTTGTCACACTGCCTGGCATTTACGTGACTCCTTACCACTATTGAGTCACTTAGAACCGTATCAACAGAGTACAAAAGATACAAATAAATAAAGAAAAAAAGTATTTTCGGTCTCACTATTCAATTTTTCTATATACTCATAATTTCTTATAATGAATACAATCCTGTTTTTCACATACTTCATCTAGATAATCATTATGTTATTCGTGGTAAATTATTTCATATGGTTTTCTTCGAATAATTGATTTTTCTCTGTTTAAATAACAATGCAAATAATTCTGCTTATGAGGAACACATTATGATTGGTTAGATATTTTTGATTGTTAATATTATTTTGTCCAATTTAATGCAGAATCTAGTTTTGAATTTCTGAATCGATAAGGTAGTTATTACACAAGAGTTTTTAAGGTGTTGCATCTATTCTTACATCTAGTCTATGATATTTACTTAAACTTCTCAAACTCAGGAATATAATAAATCTTCTGTGGCATTTGTAAAAATCATTTTAATTCTATACACATTATACAATGGTTAAGGCTATGACAGATTATATGGGTTTGCTTGATTCGCTTCGGCTACATAATTTTCATGGCCCAAAGCAAGATCCTGTGAAATAGGAAAAAGAATATAATATTCAAAAATTTATTCTCTACAAATCAAATCTTACCTCTCCAAGTAAAATTGCGTTTTTTAAAGCAGGCACAGCTACTTTAAGCAACTTGCTTTCGTAATCATTCAAAGGTGGAATACCTAAATGCTTTTGAATCCCATCTGGGCCTAATTTTAAGGGACCAGCGAAGTATTTTATTTCTGGTATCACATGGGATCGAACATAGGCGTATTCCACGACATCGCGTTGGTGTCGCAAAGCTAGATCACATAATAATTAATCATGTTAATTAACAAATATTTTGTTACACCTTTATTCTAAAAATGGTACCTTTACAAAGGGACACGCAAAATCTAGCTGCTCCGAAAGCCATTGCAAAAGACGTTGGCTTTTTATTCATTTTAGATACTTCTTCGTCTGCCAATCTTACTGCTCTTGTCAATCTTCTTGCTTCTTCCTAATTTATTAATAAATTAAGTATTGTATAGATATATAAAGAAATAATACATATAATAATAAAAGTCATCCTTCAATTACAAACAGTTCAAAGTTCAAAGTATTAACTCATTATAAGTATAACTCATAACTCATATTTCAACACAAATTTTACTTTATTATATTTTTGATTAATAGTTTATTATTATTTTAATGAATGTTTTTACTACTATTATCTTTCGCCATCGTGATGAATGGCGTGAACATTTTAAAAGGGTTAAGAGGAAACAATCAACCTGAGCTATTACGTTGCAAGGCTTCGCTTGCGAAAAAATGGGTATACATGTCTCCGAACAACTTCCACCTATCACAGGTATCGTCACACATTCCGGCTCGACGCCAATTACTTCCGCGGCGAAAGTGTTCGCTCTGAGACAATTAACGCTAATCAGGCCAAACAAACGATTATAATCGTGTACCCCAGCTTGTTTGTACATTTCTATCGCCAGAGGTATTAAGCTGTTTATCGGGTGCATTGCTACTGCAACCATAGCCTGTAGGGAAAGAAAATGACCAAAATAGCCAAAATAATCAGGGTTGAAAGTCCTACAATTAAACTACGAATTTTTATATCAATAAAAATGTATATATTTGAAATTCGTGAACATATGATCAAATAGAATTTTATGTTTAAAAATTTCAGTATATTAATAGTAACAAAAAAAATATTAATCTGTATTGAAAGTTTTTATGTTATTTTATTTTGAGCTTCATACAAGCTACAGTGTTCATAAAAATTCAGTGTACAACAATGAATTGCAAGAAGTATAAATTAAGGACGTTTTATTTGTTTACCTGGGGGCAATATTTAATAACGTTTGGTAATAAGTCTGATAAGGTGTCGGCATTATATTTTAATAGGTGATCAGGTCGACCATCGCTTCTTTTCTTGATTACATGATCAGCTACAATCATTACTATTTTTGCCCCCTCGAGCGTTTGCTTTAAACATGCTTCGGAAGAGTTGCACGTGCTAACCTTACATTTCGTGTCAATGTAATTTAAATCCCACGCGAGCCCGTATGTGCATTTATTATCGAAAATTGCTAATTCTTCGATGAGCGACGATTGTTTAAGAAATAGCGATAGACAACTTCCTGTAACAAGGCATAAAATTTAATATGCAACGTATGGAAATTAGGGGTTGGTAACCTAATCTATTTACCCGTTTTACTGGCAGCGCCGAGAATAGCTACTTTCATGGATTTTGATGAAAAGTAATTATACTGTGTAAACAAACATATTCTTGGAGGGTTGCTCCACCATTTTGTGATCAAGGAACCGGTCTGCTTGATCATGGAATGAAGAAATTTTCCGCGGGGAACACGTGAAGTTATTTTTCTGAATGCGTGGGTCGCAGACGGAAACATGACAACACATTTTCATTTTATAATTATTTGATATGTCCTTGAAGTATACTAAGCAATTTTTGACAATAACTATATATAAGTTTCAAAGGGAAAGAATTCTTGACACTACGAACAAATGATTGGCTCGTTGCATTGCTTGTATGGTTTTTTATTTTTATGTTAGATTTTAACAGTTATACTGGATGACATTTTAGGAATTAAATAAAAAATAAATTTCCATTCTGGTGAGAGGGTACATTATCGAGTAATGTTAAAGTAGTAGAATGTACAATAAAAATGTTGGTATTATAATAATGCCTTGTTTACGTCAGTAGTAACGTGGAATATTTATCTTTTAAGTACACGATAACGTGTTTTTTATTTACTTTTTTTTAATCAATCTTTTTTAATTTCTCCACTATCACGGTGCGATCTAGTGAGATTCATCTGGTATCATTAGTTTTGCCTTTTTACAATAGATGACGTATGTGGTCTTTTATATCATATTTACCAGTAGATCTTACAGTAATCGAATAAAAATTGAAGCTCTGTTATTTTTAAAATTGAATTTTAAATAGGACTCAATAACTCAATTTGATTTAACTCAATTCAGAATGTCCTTTTGATTTTATTTATTTTTTCCAATTCTATCGAATCAAATGTACTTTGAATCATTTCAGTTCATAATATATGATCCAGTTTTTTATTACGTAAATCAATGAAAAGAATAATAAGTTTTATAAAAAAAAAACATACCTCTTGTTGTTATAGTAGTTTCCTTGAACACTCAACTTCCGTTCCACAGTTTATCGAAGTACTCCCTAGAGGGCTAGAAACAAGGGATGTAAACTTGAATGGACGGAATATTTCATAGATCAAAAAATCAACCATATCAAACTATTCCCGACTTATAATTTCCACTTCGACGATACAAACAAAAAACATACATTTTCAGGTAAAAAAATTTAAAAAAACTAACAAATTTCGTTTAACAAGCTTGTAAAGTTCACTTTATTTAACATTGACTAAAAATACAACAAAAACGAGTTATTAATTTAACACATTACACAATGACTTTAAAATTTTATAAGCTTTTTTAGTGAATCTATAATTCTAACTGATATTATATTATATAATTCCTAAACATCAAGTTCATATATACTTTTTCCACTATAATATTCTTATTATATTATCCAATGTTTATTTTTCCACTTACGGGACACTAAACCTGAAAAAAGGGGCTCGTTGCATCCTGTCCCGGGACGAGTCCCAGGATAACCGGCTCCGCCTTTTTGTATATCGAGTTTATTGCTCTTAAGTAGATACTGACCATTACCGTGGACAAAGGGATGCTGTCGCACCCCTTTACAGTGGACCAGTTCTCTGTCAGCGGAAATTGACCGAGAAGAACTTTCGAATGAGAGTCAAAGGGTAACTCGACGTATTTTGCGGTTTGACTCCAGTCACAATGGAGTGGACAGTGGCCATTGTTGGCCGGGAGGCGGCAGCATCCCCATCCGGGTGGACCAGTTCTCTAACAGGATCCGTGAAACTGGCCACCGAGGGCAGGACCTCGCCACGCGAGCGAACAGGTTTCGTTCAGTAGGACGGGATGAGACTTTGTCGACGAACGAAAATGGATCGCGATCCAGATCAGGTGGAAAACTGGTCCATCGTTCGGAGACCCTTTTCAAAATCAGAGCGCATCACAGAGCAAAGTTCAGAGATCAGAATAGAGGAAAATAGCAGGTTCATAATTCTATGATTTAGAACAGGTTGCACTATTATAAACTTCAGTTTCATACAGAATTAGATCTCAGGACCGTGAGTATTATTAGAATTAAGTATTATTTTAATCGTCTGATTGATTGACTTAACGATCGAGAATAGGTTACATTAATTTAGCTTTTAGTTTTATTTATAATCAGAATTAAGGATGGCGCATAGAATCAGATGGAAAGATTTCGATTAGGTTTAGAAGCATATTATTTAAATGTCTAGCTTTTATTGCAGTATTATTTAATACCAGAATCCTACTACATAGAACCTAGAATTAGGGAAATACGTTTAGTAAAAGGTAAACTTAGGTTTCTGGATTACATAATCATTATTTATCAGAAACTTATTTGTTTCTTAATATTACACAATTGTCAATAATTTTTCTCCTCAATTCCCGACGAAGGAATTCGAATAATTATAGAGTGTACACCACGATACTTTTCGTGGAGCCATTTCAAAGCAGTTTGTCCCTCGGTTTACGACCCATATTATTGTCATAGAATCCTTTCTCTCCGGCTTCTATCGAGCTGTCTGGTTTAATTTCCGCGGAGTTGTCCCAGAGAAAATTCTCGTCATAGCTAAAACGAACTGCTCGAAAAAAAAGGAGGAGGAGGAAGGGTAGTCGGAGGCGAAGGACAAAGGAGGGACCGAGCACTCGATCAAAAGTGAAGAGAAAAAAGAAAAATAAAGGCCCGTGACGTGTGTGTCACACGAGACGCCGAAACCAGCCCACATTGGCCACTTCTTTCACCTGTCCATCATCCTCCCTCCTCGCCGCCCCTCCCCGTCTAAAGAAGACGTCGCGGTGAAAGAGGACATTTGCGTTTCCGTGCTCGTACCAGACATTGTGCGCTTTTATCGGCCGTTTCGCGTTCAGTTCTACCGGGGATTTCGTGCTCGTCGTCGAGAATACTTGAAAAGGGAGCCAACAATAATTGACTGCTTTATTCCGGATTCCGGGCTCGGTCTTCGATACGTAATCGCCTTAACGTCAATACACTCGAACCGCCTTGAATCATTATAACCGTAGAAACAAGATTTTCGCGTACGATACGCGACGGATCGTCTTCATTTCACGCGTTACTCAATTTTCTTCGACTGGGAAATATGTCGACCTTCTCGGAAATGGAATAACATTGTTGTTTCGATGTAATTAGTTTTCAAATGTGTAACAGAAGGAAACTAAATTCTCTTTATCCATATGCTAAAATAAGGCTTGCTTTCAGTTAACAAAATTATTTAATTTAATTATTTAATTTAAAATATAGAACAATCCACATTAAACCGTACTAAGTCCATAAGAGTTACGAAAGACTACAAACCAACATAAATAATACAACTTACTCTACTTATTACAAATATTCTCTTTCGTCTAGTTGAAACGTGGCACACAATATTCTTTAACTATCCACCAAACATTCCATCACCTGCTTAATCGCTCAATCCTCTTCAAAAAGAAACATAACCACCAAACTATCTAAAAAGCAGTGACTACATCTACATCCACCATATCGAGAGCACTTCCGTAGGCACAAGTCGCTCCGGTACCCGTCGAAATACTCTTTCGTGCTTCACCTCGTCTTCCACTCTCTCGGCTATGTCTCACCGTCGAGTTAATTTGAGTTTCGTCTGCGAGGGCATGTTTCTCCCACTCTCTCCCACTTTCTCTCCCGGCCAGACCGTGAAAAGGTTTCAGTACGTACACGCTGCATTACCTCCATTCGTATCGGTAACGAGACCAGCTCCCGCAGCACCCCGGGATTTCGGGGTGTACTCGCGTGTAGACACGCGGTATTGCCGGGACACCCCGTATATAGGGAGGGCGTATTTGTTTTACTGCCTAGCTGCTGGCATTGGTTGAGAACGTGCTCCGCATTCTTGAAATCGTGCCACCCTTGTTACGGCATAGACTCTCCACTGCTCGCCCACCGCCACCCCCTCGCCGACAGCCACCACGCCATCAACCTGGCTCTCTCTTCTTTCCTGGCACTAGGCACCACCGGCAGGCATCGACAGAAGGATCGTCATCCTTTCCCCCTCATACTTGCCCGGCCATAAAAATTCTTGACTCCTGTAATGGTCAGGCGGTACGAGCCCGAGGAACACTGGCATACGTGTTCACCATATTTTTGAATAAGGCGCGGGGGGGATATTGCTTTGATGACTGGGGATTGCCGGTGGAGTGTTCAGCTGGGGGAGCTTTCTCGCGAGTCCTCGTCCGTTCGAGTTTTACGGAGCTGCCATTGGTTCGCTGGTAAATAAACTGCCGTTCGGAGCTGTTAATTTGATCGAGGAGTAGATGGTATTTTAAATTTCTTCTTGGCGCGATGATGATTAAGACGAGTGCGACTGAACTGCTCGTATAGAAGGTATTATTTATTTTGTATTAAACGGTAATATTTTTAACAGAATATAGATTAAAAATGAAGTAGAATAAAGAATATGAATTAAATGGAACAAATGTGATTGAGGTCATGGAAATTATAGACGTTGTTAATCAATATAGGAGAATAATTTATTCGATACTAGGACAGCAGACAATATTCCACAATAAGTTTCCATATTTCAACATGTCTCACGCACTACATAAATCACGATTTAAAAATATTTCTCCATTACAATAGAATACCTTTAATACCTATTTTTTATAAACAGCAAAACCCAACCACGACGAAACAACCGTATAAGTCTCGAATTAAAGAGTTCCGGCACTGGAATCAAAACCCACCCTGGGTGTCCGGTTTTCAGTGGTGCGTAATCGAGCGGCGGGCTCGTAGAAAGCGCAAATAAATTCTCCGGGTTAATCGCTAAGCACGCTCATTTTTCTCGAGCTCGGATCGTAAAATTCTTATCTTCCTCGACAGTCCCGACGGCTCCCCCTCGAAACAATACGGTGTATCTGATTTCCAAATGCGCAGAGGGGTGAGTGCCGGTCGTCAGCGCGGTGGACCGGGCTCTCCTCGCAGCCGTCGACGGGAATCGCGTGATCCGCGAGACGGTAAAAATATCGGCGCAACCGGAATAGAGAGTCGCACCAGAGAAGGACACGGATGAAGAGTCCGGCATTCTGTCGATCCTAATTTACGGCCAGGATTTCAGGCGTTTATGCCTTTCCGATAAGGTCGTGAACGCAGATGCCGTGCCTTCGCCGATGGATCTTCTTCTTCAAT